GTATCCCGCTTCTTTCCTGAAACGATAACAACACATAACTGGCACCACCACAAAAATTCCTCACATGAAGCAGCAAGGTGAGTTGATCGCTTTTATCAAACAGGCGTTGAGGCAGCGTGGACGCCCATCGTCACGCAGTACCGAATTGTAGAGGGTTTGTAAACCTCCGTCCCATGATATGGCCCCGCAGGATGGATGCTCCGCACTATGGATCCGGTGCTAATACTGGGATGCACTATACGAAAACGGCTGCTGCATCTGGCAATTGGATGCCGTTTGTGACCAAGATCTTCTTACAAACTCGATCTATGGCGCTTTGATTCGAGTTTCTTGTCTGTTACTAATAGTCGCCCCAAGCGCGGCCCGGAAACCCGGAAGCGATGAAAACCCCATAAATTTCAACTATCTTGAGCCTTCAGTCTACACCTAACCTACAATGCATACTCTATGTTTCATGCTGCGCAAAACGTGACCTGGAACGTTGCGTTGGGGTCGACACACGTGTGCACCTTTGTGTTGTCCGCCGGGTACAAGTACGCTTCTTCGCAGCCGTCGGCCAAGCACGTGATCACATCGCACTTGGTGTTGAGCGGTACAACGCGCATGGGCAAATTGAAGCCGACTTTGCCGCTGTGCTTTTTGCAGTTGTCAAGACCAACGTTGTGGTCGCACTACACCACTGTATAAGATCTGGGTACGCACAAGCGAGGTAGAGTGTTACCCCTGGAGGAATGATGCTAATATCGTACGCGACGCGGCCTGCTTCCATGACCGTGGCTTCAAACACTATTTCGCAGGGAATCCATAAGAGCCATATCCAAGACCAAGTCGCGTCCGTACATGTGGCTTGGTCAAAGCCCCCGTTCGGCGTGTGGTAGTTCGTGCCCGTCTCGTTGGACGCACATCCATACCGGCCCACATCGAGGTCGCAGAACGCCCAGCGCTTGATGTCGACCGGCTTTTGATAAATGTGCAGCGGCATGCTGCAGTTGTTGACAAAGTAGTAGCGCGCTCGCTTCCACGGAACGTCTTCGCCGTTGCCAACGCCGTTGCTGTTGAGGTCTTCGGTGAGCTCAATCGACTCGAGGACCGCGGTCGGTGCGGGCGTCGGCGTCGGTGTTGGCGCCGGCGTCTCGGGCGCGGTCGCCGCCGACTTGTCCGACGCATTGTCCGACGTCCCGGATCCAAAAACGAGCACGCCGGCGACGATCGCAAAAACAGCAAAGCACGCAAAGAGCACGAACGGGAGGCGGTACTGCCGCCGCCGGTTCTCATTCGAGTCCTTGACGTCGGGCGTCGGGTACGCCTTGTGCAGCGGCGGCAGCGTCGCCATTTGAAAGAACGCCGCGATGCTCGAGGTGCGGCCACTCGGGCGGCGCAGCGCCGGCGGCGAGAAGAGCCACGTGTCGTTCGTCCCGAGCGGCTCGAGCGGCTCGGAATTCCGTGGCGTCGGCACGAGGATGGGCAGCGGCGCCGGGAGGCTGCTGCTGCGGCTTATCGACGACATCGTGCGAAGAATGCGCGAGTGCTCTTGTCGAGTGTACCTCGTTCCCAGGCCGTGTTTCTAGCAACGGCAGTAATCCCATGGCCAGCATGGCGTATCAGAATGTTTGTATACTGCTGGAAGGGGAGGGCGGACCAGCTGGCCCCGACTTCAACCTCGCCGACGCGATGACCAGCGTTATCGCCTGCCCGATCATGTCAGCAGACAACGACGACGACCGAAGACCGACCGCGGCCGAGCGCTCGTCGACGACATCGGGACGACGATGCTGCCATCGCGGACTTCACGAGTACACTGTAGTTTGTCGAGACGGCGGCCGTAGACACGATGGCCTTTCTGAGTTGCCAGACCCTAGGCAAAAACAGATGCCATAACCTAATGTGATCGACTCCGTCGTCGCGCGTACGTCGATGGCGATGCTCCATCCATCGTGTCAAGCCGCAACAAGCCACCAGCTATTGCGCAAAGCACCACGCCGAAGCAGCCAACGAGCTGTCGCCGACGAGCAGTGCAGCTGGCAGCGGAGAGCAAGGGAGCCGAAGCGTTGGTCGCTGCAACATTGCAAACGCGTCGAGGTTTCGCCTTTCGTCTACATCTGATCGCGGCCACCATGCAGCGCTGGTCAGTTTTTGTGTGCAAACGAATGTGCCGTCCAACAGCCTGGCACAAGTGCGATCTGTGCGCAATTGCGGCTCATCTCACAGCGATTTCGGTCACGAATTCGCCATTGTCGGCGTCGTCACTGGTGCACCCAACCCCGCAAAGCATCCAACACCACAACGCCCGTGCTGCCAGCGTGCAGCACACCTCACCCTTGCTGCACTAGATATTTGCTACAAGTATGAACACACCGGATTCAAGCAGAGCCACCGGGACAATGAATCAATATCCAACACACTGCTCCACTAATCAATAATCTTACTTTGAGCACTTGACGCTTTCTCAGTCGAGCGGGCTTGAGGCGTAGGGTACCTTGGCTCGCCTAGGTTGTTGAGTGGTCTGGTCTATGCATCGGCGCCATCTATGCTCCAGGCACTAGTTTAGGTAATGGGACGGGTCGGTCTCCTCGCCAACAAGAGACTTCGACGTTACCAAGTTTACAAAGTTGGCCTCGACAAGGAATAACGAAAAAACTCAACAAATGATTTCATACTCACTGCCAGGACCAGGACCGTGGCGAGGACCCATTCGCCATCTCACGATCGCGGTTTCAACCTCGATTCCATTGCCGTGAAACCGATTCTCCATGCCAGCCACCGGCTACGTCGTGCCCGACCTCGATGACGGGCGGCCCGTGCGTCGCAAAGGCAGCAACAACGCCCACGACCTCGTCGACGAGTCGACACCACTATCGGCCTTGCGGCGCAAGCCGCATCGTGGTCTCTGGAGTCCGGCCCACCGCTCCAAGTACACCGAATCCGTCGTCGGCGTACCGAGAGCTCCATGTGTAGGCTGGTTGGGGTGTTCATGCTGCTCTGGCTCGTCGGTGTCTTGGTTTACCAGCACTATTACGATACATCGCCAAGAGAAATGCTAAACGAGGACGATGGGCCAACGGCGCTGCCGATGCCAGTGTTGCGTCCGCCGTTGGCAGCCAAACCACTAGTGGCGTGGACGCTCGGCGCAGTACTCGACGCATATGCGCTGTCGTCGACAGCCTCTGTCAATGAACTCCAGCAGCTCTTGCTGCGCATCCAAGACGACACGGCGCCCACGGTAGTGCGTTTCCGACGTTCCGATGTGACGTAAGCACTGTGTAGCCACGAGGAAAATGGACCCGGTCCGAAGCCGAAACCATACAACTTCTCGTGGTCCAGCGAATCGATGCTCTCACGGCGGAGCAAAGCGGAGTCGAATTCGCGGATCCGGAAGCGACGTCAATGGTTGATGAAGAGGCGCCGATGGCCATCGATCTGCCCTCCAAGCCTTTGGTCGTCGATGAGCCCACACCGAGTGACGAGCCAGCACCGACGCCAAAAGAGGCCACAGATGCGCCAACAACGGTGATGCAACCGACCACCGAAGCACCGACAGGGCCAACGGAGCCTGCGACCGCCGCGCCGACGCTCCGTCCGACGGAAGCACACATACCGATCGAGACACTGGCGGCAACAACGCAGCCACCGACACCGACGACGCTGGTTGCCACGACCGAGGCCACCACGGTCGTCACCAGTACATCGGCTCCGCCACCACAGCCTTCCCTCCGCCGCTCTACACTCGGTATCCCTTGCGAGACGTACGAAGCGTCAACATGGCACGTAGGGTACCAGAGTGATCTTGTGCTGTGGGTCAAGGCCGACGACGGAGTCCATGTGCCCGACACCAGCGCGTGCGCCGCCGACGCTTCACAATGTCGTGTTTACGCGTGCGTGCATGATTCTGTTGTTCGACTCGAATAACTCTACTTCTTTGGTCGTGCAGGTGGCGCAATCAAGCGCCCGGTGGAGACGCCTTTGCCTTCATTCCAATGTCGACGACACCGACCTCGGTACGTCCTTCGTTGCCAGTTTCATCGGCCGAGCCTTGGTCGTAGATGCTTCCCATTCTAGTCCCGAACGCGATCGGTGATCTCCCAGCGCTCTACTTTACGTGCCCACTGGTTCTGTCACCACCGAGAACGCTGCTTCGTGACAAGTCGACTCTCTTTATCGTCTTGTCTCCTGCCACACTCAGTGAGGTGCACAACGTGCGAGTTGTTTGTATCAAGGTATCAATCGGTCGACTGTCTAGTCGCACCAAACTTTTTTCGGGCACACGCCGTACGGTCAATTCCGGCTCCAGCACCAGCGAGCGAGCTTCTATGGCGCCGGCGAAGGCGTCGAAGCCGAGGTATCGCCTTTTCTTTGCGTACGACGAGCAATATGTTGATTAGGACAACCAAGGTATTGCGCCCGGCACATTTTCACTCCTCGTGTACGCCTTGGACTCGACGATGCGCATCAAAGTCAACGGTATGACTTGCACGCAGAGCGTATGCCAAGCCTTCGGGTAGGACTGCCGTTTGGGTCGGAGACGCAGGACCTCCCCGTGCACCTGTCGCCGCTCGACACGACGGTGCTCGGGAGTGCCAAGCGCACTTGTGACGACAGCGCGTTTCATGGTACCACCATGTTTTCAACGATCGCAAGCTTCTCACGGTGCGTAGGCCGCATCGCTGAAGTCTTGTTGTACTCTTCGGTGCTCTCAGCGCCAAATATGAACATGGTCGAAGACTATTTGCTTTCAAAGTGGGCGATACCACGAGGTATAGCCATGGATCGGTGTATGCAGACACGATTGGATAACTAGCCACCCAACACCACGCCGTCAACAAGGCGCCCTTGAAGAACGACGACGACGACAATACTATCATACAGGACGAGGGCGACAGAGCAGTACAGCCGGCGGTACCGGCGACACCGGTGCAACGAAATGCACTGCGGTCGGGCGTCGCCCTGGTCGGTGGATACAACCGCGACGACGTGTTTGTGTGGGTACCTCCCGCCGAGGACCCGCGCCTCGCCGCCGAGTGGCGTGGCATCGTCGCTGCCAAAATCAAGCTCGTCGAGCGGTTCGAGTTTGGCGGCAAGATTCTACACGAGTACATTGACGAGCTCAAAGAGGAGCTCCACGGCGTGCGCAGTGTCATGTTTCCTTGATTCTGTTTGCCAAATGTAAAATGCTTTTCGTTTCGCTTTCTGCCACAATACATTTTGCGCCAGTATGTTGCGACTAGCATACTGTAGTTCGTCGAGGGAGTACTCGTTGTCGTATTGGCGACCGTCAACGTTGCCAAACACTTGGCGAGATTCGACATGTTCTTTTTGCTCTTGAGATCGTTGTCGCCGGCGGGCCATCGGCTCGACCGCAGGCTCGACCGAGTGGATTTAGGTCAATGACAACCACACGGTGTGGAACTGCAACTTCAACGTACCAGCCTTCAAGATCCGCTGCCAAGATCCGGTTCTAATGGCTGCCGTTCCACGCGTCGCTGCAGAGACAATATTTCGCTGCCAACAATGACAGCAACGAGAGACGCCTCCCATATCGAGTGCAGCATGCACGTGTGCTTCTATCGACGGCGTGGGTTGGGCAGCGAGCTGTCACATCAGTAGGATTCTTCTCGTCTTACCACACCACGAGACCAAACCCAACGCTACAAACTTGAGTACGACGCCAAGCAACCAGCGTGGGTTGCATGGCAAGCTCTTGAGAATTCATGTACACGCATTCTTCTCGCCGCCGGCCCAGAACCCAGAACGGCGCTGCAAGCAAAGCAGAAAGGCAGCTCTTGTTCGAGCTGAGAATAATGGTTGGCGCCCGACGACGACGACACGCCGACGTTGGCTTGCACCAGCGAGAAACCCTCCTTTGTGAGTGTCAGGGACACGTGGCGTGTTGCCCTATCCACAAGGCGCGCAAAATTGACGATGAAAATTAAGCGATGGCCGGCAACGACGAGAGGACGACGAGCGCACAAGGCCGCGACGGACCGTCGTTGCATGTACACGAAAACCCTTCCATTGGTATCTTGCGGGGTAAATTCATTGGCTATCGTCGCCGAACCTCCCGAGATGCAATCGGTTGGCCTTTGCATCCCGTGCCATGGAAGCGTTCGCGATCGCAGCGTTTCTTGGAGCACGCGACGCCATAGAAAGCCCAGGCAGCAAAAACAGACTATCACCAAGTAGCTGCTTGGCGAAATGGATGGCTGCGACAACGTATCGCGCTGCGACGTTTTATCGCCAAACGAGTTGAGCGGTATTTGACACATGCACTGCCCACGCCATGGACAATATACACCGTGCGTCACCCACGCGTGCAGAGCCGCGCCGCGCCGACTTGTATCGTGTATCGGCATATAAAACACACACCGGGCGCCGCCTCCATGCCACGCGAGGTACCTCGCACTTGCCGGCTCGCGGGAGGCAGCGACATATACCTTTGAAACACGAGGGTACTCGGATTTGGGAATGCTCGCGTGGAGAGGCATGGCAAAGAAGATACTTTTTCCGACGTGAGTCGCGCCGAAAGCCGCAAAGAAAGGGCTCCGTTGGCGCGCCAGCTGGTGGCACAGCGCATTGCATTTCTCAAAAGAGTCTCGTAGCGGGTTGTCCACTTCTGATAGGGTCGGTGGCCCGCGATGATGGCGCCAGTCGTCGCGCCGTCTTGAAGCAAGTCGGCCGAGTAGCTTCCTCTTCGACATGTATACGTGTCGTCGTCGTTATATTCGATCGCCTTGCCGTGCACCTGGTATGACCGTTGAAGATACAAGTTGCAGCGCTTCTGGCGACAAGACTGCTCGACAGTCCGACATGTGCATTCGACCAACACGGCCAGCTGCAAGCGCGCAGTCGAGTAGTATAAGATCTGATTTTAAACTTAGGTCTCCAAGCGTCTTCCAGAGTCCGCGAACCATCGAAACAAGCATCAAGGTGTCGCCCACCCGATCGATCATGGCGATTTGAACCAAGGTGTGCGCGCCAGTGGCTACCTACCGTACTTGTCTGCATCGAGGCGCACGGTGTATCTCGCCCGCCATTTCCTGCGTGGATCGGTCCGTCATGGCAAGCCCGCACCGTACACTGTAGAAGGCTGGCTCATCCAGGGCCGCTTGCACCCGCGTTGCTTTCGCTAGTTGTTGAAGAATGAGCATCTATTAAAGCTAGCTCGTACGCCATACAAGCTATCTTTCAAAGCTGCGATCGTGGCGTGTGGCGGGCACGAACACTCGTGAGCATCGTCAACCAAATTTGGCTCATCCACCCGCTCCATGCGATATGGAGACAGTGTCGACAAGTGCATGCAGATGGAGACACCTCTGGTAAAGACATGCACCTTTTTCTAACCCATACACCGGTCTTGTCTTGGGGAGCGTATTAAATGAGCTTGGTGTTTGTATGGCAAAGGTGAGAGACGGAATTAAATAGGCTTCTCGCCTGCAAACGATTTTTGGCCAATCGCGTGACGCCGGCGCAGGCTGATCGATGGCATGTGGCAGTCTTCCATTTCCCATGTCGTCGCCCCCGCGCCCGTCGTCGCCGACGATGCGACCAGTGTACCCGTCGTCGTCGTCGCGCAGCAACTCGGTCGTCCGGCGCAACAGCCACGGCAGCCTCGTCGCGCCCAACATCACATCGACCGCCGGCGTCGAGTACGACTCGATCCGCGTCCTCGACGAAGCAGTCTCGAGCCATGGCACCATCTACTACTCGGTGCACGTCTCGTGCATGGAGAGCCCGCTCGACAACTACACGATTCGCCGGCGCTACAACGACTTCAAGTCGTTCCACGCAACCTTGTCGCGCTACATGCCCACCGCGCCGTTTGGCTTTGTCGCGTTCAAGGCCGCGATCAAGTCGATCGACGAGGACGAGCCTGACAGCACCAATACCGCCAACAACAGTACGTTTTTGAAAGACTCTGGCGAAGACAGCAGCAGCCACCATCCAACGATGGACGTCGTGTACCTCCCGCCCATGCCCATCGGCGGCCTCCTCGCCATCATGACGTCCAAAGACACGCTCATCCGCAGCCGCATTGCCATGTTCAACCGCATCCTCGAAGCCGCGCTTGAAGATGGCAGCCGACCGGTCGCTGAGGCGCTCCGCAACTTTATCAAGGAGGCGCCCGGCGGCAGCTTGCACCGGACGCTCTCGAGCATGTCCGACTCGACCAACGACAAGAAGCGCACCAAGTCTCGGTCCAGCTCGGCGTCGTCCTATGTCTCGCTGCGCGACTATGCGGCGCCCGAGCTGACGCTGAGCCTCGAGCGCGATGCGAGGCGCCGGACCGCGTCCTTTGGCCGCCAAACCAACCGACTCTTCCTCGACTGCGCGATCAAGGCGGTGGAAGCCGTCGAGAACGGGTCGGCGCAACCGCTCTCGTCGTCGTCGTCGTCGACGGCCGCCACGAGCTCGCCATGCTCGCCATACGAGACGAGCCTTTTGCCACCTACGACGATCTCGGCCGCGCCGCCGTCGATCGCGGCTTCATGATGACCGCCACCCACCTCCCCACCCTCCCCGTCCTCGTAATAATATAGTCGTCGTCCCTGTCCCGCGGTGTGCGCTTTGCTCTGACGCGACTCTGATCGCTCCCAAGCCAGTCGCCAGTACAAGAGGAAACAGGTGGAGTACCAGCTGCCACGACCATACGAGTGCCAACGTGATCTTTGTACACCATCTGCCGACAGCGAGTTGAGGTCAACGACGCGCATGCTTCTTGCGGTCCCGCGACGACGAGCGCGAGTACGACCGACGCCGGCGACGGCGGTCCGGTGATCGCGACCGACTGCGCCGTCGACTGCTGCGCCGACGGTCCGGTGACGGGGGGCGATGGCCACCGGGCGACACGGACCGGCGATCCCGCGACACGGAAGAGCGACGACCGCGCGGCGACGGCGACCGACGACTGCGTGGTGATGGCGACCGGCGACTACGGGGCGAAGGCGACCGGCGGCTACGGGGCGAAGGCGACCGGCGGCTGCGAGGTGACGGCGACCGACGCGACTCAGAACGAGGACTGGGCCGTGCTGGCGACGGCGAGCGTCGGGCGGCAGCTTCCCGCGCGGCTTCTTCGCGCGCAGCGGCCTGTCGTTCGAGGCGGTCGGCGGCGTCCTGTTTGAACGCCGCTTCGCGCGCCGCTCGGTCTTCCTCTTCCTTTCTACTCGCCATGTCAACCACAAGCGATGCTATTTGATGGAATACCGAAAGTCTTCTTGGCAAGTCGCAAAAATCTCTTCTTCGTCGATCGCCGAGAGCACGGTAATGTCGACTTGGGTTCGGAGCTTGGCGATCGCCGGGTCCGTGTACTCGTCGGCGTCGACCACCGCCTTCTTGTGGTCGCTCCAGAGGTCGAGCAGCCGCTTGTACTCGAGGCGGCGGTGCATCGCTTTCGGATACCAAGCGTCCAACTAGCGCATGGACGATCACGCGGGATATACAGGACATGCAGCGTCCTTATACCTGCTTTTGGTAAACCGACTCTTGCACGGCCAGCGGGAGCACGTTGAGAACTGTGGTTGTCATCGCCTGGAACGACGCGTTGTCGGTCAGCGTCCCGAGGAATTGCTCAAAACTAGCCTTCTTCTTGGACATCTAGAGCACGTTTTGCATGTAGCACCGTCGCTTGGAGGAGGTCGTGTACCTGCGCCAAGGGCATCGCGTGGAGCGTCGCTTCGACAAAGGAGGCCCACGCCTTGCGCGCCTTCTTGACGTTGCGCTTCATCTCGGCCGCGATCTCGGCCTTGCGGTGCTTGATAAAGTGTTCGAAGATGGCCCGGCGTTCGTCCATGCTACACACACCATAGACATAAGATGTGTTGCAACTTGGAGACGGCCACGTACTCGGCGATGGCGCGGAAGCGGTCGTCGACGGCGATGCGGGGCAGCGCGCCGTCCCACTTGAAGTGCGGCAAAATGCCCTTCTCGCGGAGCATGGCGCGGAAGGCCTCGATGCGCTCCATGTGCAGCTTCTTCTCTTCGTCCGTCTCTTCTTGGGGCGGCGGCGGCGCAGCCACGACAGGCGGTGGCAGCGGGGTCTTGGCGGGCGCTTTGGGTGGCGCAAAGCGCTCCTTGCGACGGAGCGCGTCGGCGGCGGCGCGCTCGGCGGCCGCTTCGTTCTCGCGCAAAATGGCGAGTTGTGCGTACGACATCTCGGGCGCGCTGCCCCAGTCGTCGGGGCGCTCCCACACGGACGCCCGGCTTGGCAGGTGAAAGTAGTAGAGCGTGCCAAAGCCCGCGTCAAAGACGCCCCACTCGCCCGAGAAGGCCAGCGCGGTCTTCATCATGTCGTCCATCTCGCCGAGCTCTTCACGGACCTCAATGGGCATCTCCCACATGCTCTCGTTGGCCTCGGCGTCGTGGTAGTACTTCCAGCCATCGCCAGCGTCATGCTCGGACCACTTGCCCCACGTCCGGCCCATGCTGGTGGAACGGAATACGGTATCCGCGGCCAGTGATTGGCCCGCCGGTACAAGCTCGGCCTCGCATAATCTAAAAACACTCAACTATTACCTCGTCGCAGGGTTGCTGGGCCCAAATCAACTCGAATAGCCTCACTCGCCAACACATTAGTCTTTCAAGCATGCATTCGTTCAATTGTACGCATTGAGAGCTCCGTAGTGAGCAACGGGCTCCATGACACCTTGGCGCTCTCGAACATAAAGAGATGTGTGTCTAGCCAATACGTCTTAAAAATACTAAATATTTGAATGTATTTTGATTTGAATACAAGATGGCAGATCGATACCTCAAATACTTGCAGGCCT